CACAGTAGAACAATCAACAAGTATGTTTTAAGATTGTATCCGTATGATACAAGCTCAACAAATACGTTTTAAGATTGTATCTGTATGATACAAGCTCAACAAATACGTTTTAAGATTGTTGGGTGTGTTTCGGAAAATAAAGAAAATTAATTAAAATAAATTAATTAAATAAAATGACTAGAGAAAAACAAGAAAGGAGATGAAGCAAAATTAGTCAAAGCTCGTGCTACGCACGATTTCCTTAAAACGTATTTGTTGCCTCCCACGGTGCTAGGAGCGTTGCAACAATCGTTTCCCAGGATAGGATGACTACGAAGTAATGTTTGAGCACACAAACAAGAGTTCCAGCGAACGAGAACCAAGAAGAACACAGAAGGAATTTTCAGAGTAGCTGTAGGCGTTTTTAGCTGAAGAATACGTGAGGAATGTATTGTGCGTTGTGGCAAACCGTGTGTTTGTTGCAAAGCACCTGCCAGCTATTTATAGGAGGATTTGTTGTGTGTTAAATGGGGTGTTAATGGACCAGTCCGTTGGGCATTGAATCGTCCATAAACTGTCCATTTAACGCAGCATTAAAAGAGAAGAACGTTGGGCATTAATTGTTGTAACGGAAGAAATGCGTGACAGAAGACCCCAACAGAACACCCCTTGGAGGGTTTCTGTCCGAAGCCAGCAGAACACCCCTTGGAGGGTTTCTGTCAAGATTTTTGGACGGCATTCGTGTTCGCAGGTCGCCTACGCACACGAGTCGTGGTTTTTCTTCTCCGTTTCGGGATTTGATCGGCACCCCCCCCCTGCACGTAAGAGAGAGCCTTTCCCTCCAGGAATCTTAACTCCTTATAAGAGGCTTCCCTTTATAAGGGGGTGAAAATCCCTTGAGTTTTTCGGTGTGGGATAAAACACACTAGAAACTCACCATTTTCCCAGTTTTTCCATTTCAACGAGTGAACTTTGAGAATCAATTTCTCATTCACCCGTTATCCGTTTTGAGTGTACCACATATCGAATTGTAGCCCTTAACAAGGACAATCTGAAACCACTTTGCCCCGACCCAAATCGGAAGTGGACCCCACTCAAATAATTTCCCCAAAATGACCATTTAATGCAATTTTTAACACATTTTTCCAACACCCCGCTCCTCGGCTAAGCTGATAGCGGACACTCCGAGGCTAAAGATCGCCTTGCGGCAACCCTAGAAAATCGTTATGTGTGATTTTTTCGTAGTCACAAGCAGATTCTTATGTGATATGTTCTAAATCATGTTAGGATAAGAGATGATTTTAAATTACGAAAAAGGATAAAAAGTAGAAAAAGTGAGAATAATTGGATATTTTTAAAGGAAAAATTTATCAAAAAGAAAAGGTGTAACAATTTTTTAAATACATTTAAAATGTAAGTGTAATAAATTTTAAAATGCAGAGGGAATATTTATTTGAAACTTTTAATATTTTAGATGTAGCACTACGTATCATTTTTAATCCACTTTTTGACGATTTATGTTCCTCAATCATGTGTAAAGTTCATAAGTTCATAAGTGGACATTGTCACAAATATTGTCTATAATTTATTTCAATCTCTCTACATTTTTCATTTTTTCATACGGATCACTTTCTCTATATTAAATTAAAATAATATTGAGTATCTTATTTCTATCTCTCTTAGGTCACATAAGATGGACTTCACTACAATCCGCTTTACCCGAAGATGCTCTGAGGTTATTAGTCATTAAGCATTATTTTTTCATGTCTCTTATAATTTTGTCATCTTTCCTTTTTAAGTTGTAGTTTCTATTATTTTTATCTTCTTCATAAATCTCAACACACAGTTTTTACTTTATTATTTTCTGTATAAATCAATTTGGCAAAGTTACAAAGAACTGAGGAAGTATTATTTTTATCATTCATTTACTATTCGCGGCACTAGGGTAAATGAAAATGATTCATTTACTATTCATTAAAGTTAACACATATTGCATCTCTCCCCCGCGAATCGCGCACCAACTGCGACAACTTATCCAAACAAAGAGTGATAAATTTGCAACCGACTTCCTTACTTCATTATTGTCTGACATAGTGGTACGGGGAACACATTACACATATCTTATTCTCAATCCAAAAGGATATGATCTCAAACTGTTTCTGAGTGAGGTGGTTCAAGGTCTGGTGTGCACAAGGAGCCACCACATTGGATGAAACTCTCACACTGTTGCTATCGGGAATCGAACCTGAGACCTCAATCCAACAACCTCACTCAGCCATCATTGAGTTACCCATGCGTGCTACATATATTTGTATTCTCACATAGGTATACCGGCAACCCAAGACCATTTGTAGTGGTAACATAGTAGGAGTTTAAAATGTTAAAAATGGAAATTTTAGACTCCTAATTTCATACAATGGAGAGCATTTTGGAGGCTAAAATGGAGATAGGGAGGGAGGAGTCCAATTCTAGCCGATGGATGGACTCTCCTGGAAGTGCTACTTTGCCAAAAAGAATGGAGTCATAGAATTTTGGGGTAGTAGGTGGGCTCAGAAAATAAAACACATCTTTCTTAAAATTGTTACAATTTGTTTTTTTATTAACCATATTTTAGAAAAAATATATTAAAATTCATAAGTTTTTATACTCTTTCGTATGACACCAATATGTAATATATAAAATTTAAAAAATCTGAATTTTTAACTGTTGAAGTTTTCTTGGACCCCAAAAAATACGAAACACAAATTTCTAATTCATGTAGTGTTCACAAATAACTGAATATTCCATAATCGAACTTTACTTGAACTAAATTCAATTTTTGTTAACCAAAAAATGCATAAAAAATTAATGAAATTTATTTATTTCTACACCAAAATGTGTAATTTTATTTTATAATTATTCAAGGAAAAAATTAAAAGAAAAACATTACTTATAATAATTTAATTAATGTTTTACTAAATTGATGTATAAAAAAATATGTTGAGTGTATTTTATTGACGATGTTGGAATGCCTGAAAATATGAGTCTAAACACCGTTTTCATATGGACGGAGTCCATTTTTGACATTTTGGCCTCTCCACCGCTACAAATGGTCTAAGTAAACCAAAAGTCTAAATTCGTGACTTTGTGACATCTTTAATAAAGTACAACATGTAAGGTGACTTTATGTTTTGACAAAGTTCATGGATCATTTAAATAAAAGTAATTGCCCCATATAGGACTAAAACAAAGGTGAAATACAAAAATAAGACTTGATATGTTTTCTTCCCTTAATAGGACCAATTTACTCCTACCGTTAAAAACATGAAAATTAGCATCCCAGGTTTGCCCTTGAACACATTTACACATTCTCTCTCCCCTTCCCCACTCATAGATCGACGATTACTTCTCCAGATCCCAAAGATATAACCGCATCCCATCTTCTCCCCATCCCATCTTCTTCGTGCATTGCAGTCACCGCCGACTCTCCCGCCTCAGGCCACTGTCATCACTACCGACTTCGCCATGCGCCATCACAGGTTTCTTCTTCTTCTTCTTCTTCTTCTTCTTCCCCTCCTCCTTCTTCTTCTTCTTCCCCTCCTCCTTCTCCTATTCCTCTATTTAAATGAGATTTGCCACTCATTTTTCTAGTTTTCCTCATATTCTTATGTTTTCCTGGGTTTTGACACTGATTTTGCCAATTTTAGGAATTTTGTTTGGTATTTTCTGACTTTTTGTTTCAGATTTCTTAATTTTTTAGTTTTGACATTCGATTTGTGGATTTTTGGACTTCTATTTCAATTTCTGTTTCCTGATTTCTTGATTATAAAAGAAAATCAGTGTTCCAGATTTTTGGACTATGATATACGATTTTGCCAAGTTTATGGCATATTTTTGGATGATGATATACGATTTTGCCAAATTTATGGCAGAAATGTACTCTGACAATCATATTTTGGCAAAACACTTTTTGGATGATGATATACGATTTTGCCAAATTTATTGTTCTATTATTTTTTTTTGTTTTTTTGAAAATTTAGTTGTGGACTTCATATTTTGCCAAGGTTATGGCAATTTTGTGTAAATCAATGAAGATAAATCTACCAAATTTATGGCAGATCTGAAAATTTGTTCTTAAGGGAGATTTGTAAGTACTCTTCAAGGTCGAATCTGCCAACTTAATGGCAAATTTACTGCGGTGGTGGTGCTCGGAGGTGAAGTGGTGGTGCTCGGAGGTGAAGTGGTGGCCCTGGATTGAACACTGGCGACAATGTCGAGGATAGGATGGCGGCGGCGGATGGCGACGCCGTTGGGCGGCGACGGATGGCAACAATGTGCCGCCAGGGATGCGGCGGGGCCCGGCCAGAACGACGATCGGCGGTGGAGGCAGTTGGCAGCGGCGGCAATCGACGGCGTCGGCGATGGTAGCGGCATTCGGCGGCGGCGGGCGGCTCTGACTCTGGCATTCTAGTGCTTTACAATTTAGGGTTTCAACAGTTTTTTATTTTTCATTTTCAAAATCAAAAAAAAAATTAAAACATGGTTATTTTTGTCCAACTAAGTTGAAATTGGTCCTATGAAACTTGGGCTTCATTTATAGTCCTATATGTGCAATTAACTTTGCCATTAGTCCTATTTGAGGCATTAACTCTTTAAATAAGTTTTTAAACCAGGTGTTATTCTAGGATAAGCATAATGTTAAGGGTTGAGGAGAGTGCCGCTAATAAAACAAAGAAAGTAAGAAAGTAAGAAACAAGGGAACTAGGGAGTAGGGTTTTTTTTTTAAATTAAAATGGAAAAAAGAATAGGCCCAGGTCGGTCCACCTTTTCAGCAGCTCGAAGCCCACCCCTAATACCCCCGGTTCGAGGCCCTAGTCCCAGTCCCGGTAGGCCGGTTCGGGCCTGTCCCACACAGTAGTGGGCCGGGTCGGGTACCGGGCCGGACCGGCCCAGTGCATGCCTACTAGTAAGTGTGCACATTATCTATATACACATACAATTACATACAAATATGTGTCATACAAATTTCGTGTTCAAATAGATTTTTTCTTAGTTTTAATATATTTACAGGTTATCCAAAAAAAACTTGGTGAACGAAAGTACCAAACACGATAAAAGCAAATTCATCTATGTAACATAACATTCCCTTAAGTTTCAATAATCATGTAGTGCAATCTGCGTAACTGGGATATACAAAACTGGTACAGCATTATTCATCAACACTGGCATGACTAATGTACAATGGTGAATCACAAAATCTGGGATATATTTCTCACAGATTCAGAATATACAAAACCCAAAAACGAGTTAGACTATCCTTTGTTTCGTGCTTCAACAGTCAAGACATTGTGTTTGTATGTTCACCACCTCAGTAACAAAGTTTCCATGATAGATGCAACAATCGCAATTACCACTGTTTTCACTGTTATTGGAAATGTTGGTGCGCCCTTGGAGAAATTTATTCTCCGTGATTGGTCTCTGTAAACAAGAAAAGCAGGTTGATCAGTGTTAAAGTTGCGCTTGTTCTGAGGTTCATCAGATTAAAACACTTAGTTTGAGCTTATCACTTTATCAAAAAATAAGATGAAAGGTACTCACTTTTGTAGCGCCGATAGCACACCACAATAAATTGTATTGTCTGGCAAAGGAAGCTCGGTTTTGTCCGTGATTTCCGGATTCACAACACTTACATAAACTTCTTGGCCAAGATACCAGGAGTCAAGATTCTGTGCACGTAAATTCCAGATACCAGCATTGTCTAGAAACACTAATACAGCTGTCCAAGCTCCTGGGAACACCTACATAATACATAAAAGAGAAAATCATCAATCTTTCAGAAAATATTATCATCAGACGATAGTTCAAAAGTCACAATCTTCTTAAACAGCATAACAGATGGATAGCTTGAATGATAACCTGGGTAGTGCATCGAGCCACACCATCCCATTTATTGTATGTACTTCTGCTATTTTCGCTCCACAAACCATAATCCATCCTGCCATCCAAACAAGATACAAAACTTAGTGGCGGTTGAGTAGCTACTTTTTGTAGAGATTGAAATCTACGTAGGACACATGACTACATGAGTATACACAATAAAAAAACCTATTAGAAATATAACAGGAAATCAAGAATATGATAAGGAAAGGGGAAAGTACTTAGTATATAATACTCCGTACTACGTATTACTTATAATAATATAGCTAATATTTTTGCAAGCTTAGCCGTCAGAATTTTTAACAAAAACGGAGTACTGATTTATGTGTGTGCACATACCGAAGTGTGAGTTTTTAATAATTAAAAAAATAAGTTATGAGATACTCTTTTGCAGATGTTGTAGACGATATGCAAGGCTCATGCACATGTTTCTTATTAATGTTTTTTAAATATAAGATTTTTTATTAATCTATTTAATCAATAGGCTCTTGCATATATTTCTTATTAATGTTTTTTGAATAAAAGATTTTTTATTTATTTATTTAATCGATAAATAAAAGTTTGTTTTTTTTTAATTAATTCAGCGATTTCATCAACACCAAGTACAACTTGAGCAATTCCCACTCTTACCAAACAGGTTCTTAATTAATTCAGCTTGTTCCATGAAGCTTAAAATTGAGTCGATTATTGTAAAACGTACCCAACAACAAAAAAGGCATAACCATCAAGATGGTAGCTTTGAACGGATGTGTCATTGTTTTGGAATATGATTTCCACAAACGCCTTGTAACTACCATTGATCACAGACGTATCAACTTTAGCAGGTCGGTCCATGAATCTATTCGGAAAATCAAGCTTGAAAACGCCCAAGACATTGAATTGCTCTGCAAGCTTCAAAGGCGTTGTAGGAGCCGAGTATGAAATCCCATTAAGTGTAGTGCGCCGCTTCCCATCTATAACCTCTGCGGGCCGATTTACAATGACATAAACATCAGTGACGGCAATCTCCCCATATTTGAAGGAGCCTTGTGGATTAGGGCGGGCTGCACTAGCCGATACATTCCATCTCACGGACCTCGCTTGCATCATTGAGAAATACTTGTCATTTTCCCCTAGCAGGTCGGGAAGTGGACCAGCAGCAAGCCCTTGAGAGTTTGAGTAGTGTAATATGGCAACACCCACGGACTTCGTCCAAATGGATGAGTTTACAAAGCGTGGAGTGGCAAGTATGTAATAATCACTGATAGGGTTTTGATCCATCGTGACCAAAAATGAGTATGACTGACCGACATGGATATCCATGCTCGTATAGTTCTGTTGCACTGTGTATGATCCTTCGGTCTCAATAAGAAGTAAATTATGGTTTTGGATTCTGAAATTTAGGCTGGTAGATGTCCCCACATTGTGTACCCGCAAGCGGTATGTTTTACCTGTAAATGCCCCCCAAGGAAACACTTCACACATACTGCAAAATAATATCAGGTGTTTGGAGTAACTTCAAAATTATCAAGGAATGACTTGTATAAGGATACTAGTGCAATTTTGAGTGATGATGAAACAAATAACATATGATCTTACGTATTTGGTCTTTATTCCATCATCCAAAAGGTGAAAAGGGCACTTTTTTCATCACACAAGTTACTCCTCGATTTTGTCAAAGTATACCACACAGTGGAAAAAGAATCCCCAGTAAGTTTAAACATCATCCTCTTTATGGCAGAGATGAAACCCCGTAATAATATCAATGCAGATGGCGAAGTTACCTGGCTCAACATTGACCATAAGATAACGAATACCCCCAGGTACCAACCCATTATCATAGGAGTATGGACCAAAGCCATTAAACAGGACACCATCAGGCGATCCAAGCTCGGCACCATTTTCAAGATCTTTTCTTATTTCCTGTCATGCAAACTTTATTATTCAAAAAGACGGGGAGAAAAGACTTCTACTTCAAAAGCTATAGGTATACCGACCTTATGACCTTTAATGTACCAATCACTAATGAATAAGGTGATATCTCCATCTGGCAATGCGAATGGTAAGGAGATAATGTCTCTATTGTTTATAATGATGCCCCCATAACCACCTGCTGCTCTTTGAAAATTCAATGAAGGGAAATAGAAGAAACTCCCAATCTGGTCCTTGACTTGGAACTGGTAAGTCCAATTCCATCCAGCAGGGATGGGGCAATTCGTGCCAGAGACACCATCTTGCCAAGAGCTCCTCCTCTGCTGTATACCATTCCTATATATGGTTGATGACCGCTCAATATACTTATGGAGTTATGGCTTGTTGTGATTATTATAACAGCCTATATTTACTTGAACCAAGTTGTTATACCATGTGAGAAGCAGAGGCTCATCGAGATTGTTTTTGACATTCACAACAACATTCCAGTTGGTAGTGACATTCAGAATGGGTCCAGGGAACTGCCCATTCACCCCAATTACCTAAAAAAGATTAATTTCAATGAACTTGCACCTCAAAGATTTTGATCAATAGTCATCATCAGATAAATGAGAATGTATTGGATTATTGGAAATGCTTGGGTTTATAATAAAATTGTACTAGAGGAAATGGGCCATGTAAAGCACACATACGGGTTGGGTACCCAATCCTAACTTCTTGTAATACTACCCTGGTATAGGAACATAAATGTATTTACTATGTACTTTTTATTCTAGAGTACGGATAGCTCTTATCTTGATTACAGTTATTATGAGGTGTAAATATTATCCTCACGTAGACTAGCTAGTATAAATACATATTGCTGTAATTGTAATTAGATCAATTCAATATATCATCTCTTCATGGTATCAAGAGCCCTATCTCTAACGAGCTTCTCATATTAATTTTTTTTTCGATCTCATCTTCTCGATGACTATCACTGAATCCACCGCTGTTATATCCATTACTGCTGCCACTCATTTTCCGATCAAGCTTACGGCATCCAACTTTCCGGTGTGGAAATGTCAAGTTCACAATGCTTTGGTTGGACTTGGCCTTGACTCCTATGTTGATGGTAACCTCACTCCACCGGCTCAATTTACTGATGCAGCCAAAACCCAGACAAATCCATGTTATACAACATGGTACCGCCAAGATAAAACCATCATCAGTGCACTCCTCGGCAGCTGCTCCGAGACGATCCAGCCACTTCTCTCATCTGCTACAACAGCCCGTACAGCTTGGGAGAAGCTTACCCTTACCTACGCCAGCACATCTCGCGGCCGTATCATTTCTCTTAAGACCACGCTTGCTCGTACTACTCGCGGCACTCGATCTATCACTGAATATCTCACTGAGATATATGCTCTGTCCGAAGCTTTGGCTCTCGCCCAAAGCCCACAATCGGAGGAAGATTTGGTCATTAATATTCTTAATGGTCTTGGTCCCGAATATAATGATCTCACGTCTGCCATAAGGGTCCGTGAAACTGCTCTTCCACTCACTGCCCTACAGGATATTCTTCTTGAACAAGAAACCAAAAACCGTGAGCACGCCACTGTCACGTCCCAGCTTCTGCCTACTGCTCATGCTACTCAAGTTACTGAACGTTCTCATGCAACTGGTGAACGCCGTCCCCCTTCTGCCCATGATCACAGGTCTCAACATGCACGTCGTGGCCGAGGGGGCTCCTTCGGTACATCATCACGCCCACCTAATAATCCCATTATATGCAGATTTTGTGAGAATATCGGTCACTTAGTTTTAAAAGGCACGAGGCGGCTCGAGGCGATTTCATTGATTTACCTGAGGCGCGAGGCGCTAGGCGGTGAGGCGCGCGCCTCACGGATCTCAGCCACATTTCTTTGGTGAAATATATTTTTAGTACTTCTACATGAAGCACTCTTCTCAAAAATACTTCAAACTATTAAACAATCTTAACATCATAAGAGAAACAGAATATTCATTAAAGATAATAAGACAGAAGCAAAAAATATATGTTTAAAGGCATAATTGCCAAAAGTCAAGTTACAAACTCAATCTTAAAACTTCAAAACATAACTAAAAAGCAAAGTAGCAAACTCGCAAGCACAATTGTGAAATCTAGGCCTAGAATTCATCACTGTCATCATCCTCATTATCGAGAGTAGCAAACATTTCCTTCATAAACAATTAATAGTCATTTTGTGATAAATTGAATAATTAAGTTATATAAAAACTGTTAATAGTAATTTAAATAATTAATGTAATAAACTGTTATATAAAAAATTGTTAAAAAATCTTAAAAATAAAAACTGTCATTTTATGCAATACATAGTTAATACTTAATAAATCAGTGTTCTAACACTACAATATACAGAGTATATGATATAGTATTATGATATTATCATTGTTACGGAATATACTACGGAGTATAAAATAATACATATTTAATTAATAAACTATCACATAAATACAATTCTGTAAAAAGAATCACAGACAGATTTGTAAATTTAAATAATTTAAATAATTTTGTAAATTTAAAAACTTAAAATACTTAACTTTTTTTCAGTTATCTATCAAAACTTATAAATAGCGAAAGATAATACTATACCAGTTATCTAACTTTTATTTAAATAATTTTAATACGTAGTATTTTTATAAATATAACAACTTAAAATAAAATAAAATAAATAGCAGAAGACAAAAAAGGTAAACACTTACCTGCGACGCGAGATAGCAGCGCACAAGTTAAGTCGGAAGACTCAGAGGCTCAGAGCTACGCCAGATATATCGGAAGACCAAAGGAAGAAGGCAGAAACGAAGAAGAAGACTAGAGAGGAGTGACGAGTAAGGAGCTTACTTCCCTGAGGCGTCAATTGCGCTCGCCTCTTAGAAGCGCAAAAGGCGCGCTTAAGCAAGAAAGGCGATCGCCTCTAGGAACCTGTGCCGCCTTGGTAAGTTAATTGCGATGAACCTAGCGCCTATATGCCCCTAGCGCCTTTGCGCGCCTCAGGCGCGCTTTTTTAAACTAAGATCGGTCATAATGTCAAAAGCTGCAGGAAATTGCAACGATTCTTACGAGACAATCATGTTCCGTATGCCTCTCCTGCAGTAAATCACACAACTGGATCATCCTCGTCTCCTGGACAACCTTGGTTGTTTGATAGTGGTGCATCTCACCATGTTGCTTCTGATGCGTCTACACTGCCTTCTTATACGGACTATGGCGGTCCCGATGAGGTTCATCTTGGTAACGGTAAGACTCTTACCATTACTCACACTGGTTCCACTACACTTCCTACCCATACCCGCTCTTTGTCATTATCCAATATTTTATGTGTTCCAAGTCTTCACAAAAATCTTGTGTCAGTTGCCAAACTTTGCAAAACTAACCATGTTTCTGTGGAATTTTTTTCTTCATATTTCCTTGTCAAGGATCGAGTCACGGGGGCGCCACTAATGCGAGGGACGAACATTAATGACGTCTACTATGCACCATCTCATATCCAGTCATACTCTTACTCTCGGCCACAAATGAATGTCACACAGCATTCCGCATCTCCAGATTGGCATCACATTTTCGGCCACCCTTCACGTCGAATTTTTAATCTTTTAATTCATCAGAATAAACAGTTGTCCTCTTGTAATTTATCTCGAGAGCATCATTGACAGTCGTGTTTTATTAATAAAAGCACCAAGTTGCCTTTCTTTACCAATACTATGAATGCTTCTAGGCCTCTTAAACTATTATATTCTGATGTGTGGAGTACTACCAACAAATCACTTGATGGTCACAAATATTATGTCATTTTTGTTGACTACTTTACCCGATATATATGGTTATTTCCTCTAAAACAAAAATCAGACGTGTCCATTATATTCCCACAATTTCATCGTTTGGTTGAGAAGCGTTTTAATCTCACTATTACCGCTTATAATAGTGAATATAATGGACACGTCTGATTTTTGTTTTAGAGGAAATAACCATATATATCGGGTAAAGTAGTCAACAAAAATGACATAATATTGGTGACCATCAAGTGATTTGTTGGTAGTACTCCACACATCAGAATATAATATTTGGGATGGGAGAAGCAGAGGCTAGCATGGATGCCGAATACATTTGGGATTAGGTATTTACTATGTACTTTTTATTATTAATATGTACGTATGTACACATAGAGCCATGTATACATAGAACTCTAGTTGTTGTTCCTTTATTCTAGAGTACGGATAGCTCTTATCTTGATTGCAGTTATTATGAGGTGTAAATATTATCCTCACGTAGACTAGCTAGTATAAATACATATTGTTGTAATTGTAATTAGATCAATTCAATATATCATCTCTTCATGGTATCAAGAGCCCTATCTCTAACGAGCTTCTCATATTAATTTTTTTTTCGATCTCATCTTCCCGATGACTATCACTGAATCCACCGCTGTTATATCCATTACTGCTGCCACTCATTTTCCGATCAAGCTTACGGCATCCAACTTTCCGGTGTGGAAATGTCAAGTTCACAATGCTTTGGTTGGACTTGGCCTTGACTCCTATGTTGATGGTAACCTCACTCCACCGGCTCAATTTACTGATGCAGCCAAAACCCAGACAAATCCATGTTATACAACATGGTACCGCCAAGATAAAACCATTATCAGTGCACTCCTCGGCAGCTGCTCCGAGACGATCCAGCCACTTCTCTCATCTGCTACAACAGCCCGTACAGCTTGGGAGAAGCTTACCCTTACCTACGCCAGCACATCTCGCGGCCGTATCATTTCTCTTAAGACCACGCTTGCTCGTACTACTCGCGGCACTCGATCTATCACTGAATATCTCACTGAGATATATGCTCTGTCCGAAGCTTTGGCTCTCGCCCAAAGCCCACAATCGGAGGAAGATTTGGTCATTAATATTCTTAATGGTCTTGGTCCCGAATATAATGATCTCACGTCTGCCATAAGGGTCCGTGAAACTGCTCTTCCACTCACTGCCCTACAGGATATTCTTCTTGAACAAGAAACCAAAAACCGTGAGCACGCCACTGTCACGTCCCAGCTTCTGCCTACTGCTCATGCTACTCAAGTTACTGAACGTTCTCATGCAACTGGTGAACGCCGCCCCCCTTCTGCCCATGATCACAGGTCTCAACATGCACGTCGTGGCCGAGGGGGCTCCTTCGGTACATCATCACGCCCACCTAATAATCCCATTATATGCAGATTTTGTGAGAATATCGGTCATAATGTCAAAAGCTGCAGGAAATTGCAACGATTCTTACGAGACAATCATGTTCCGTATGCCTCTCCTGCAGTAAATCACACAACTGGATCATCCTCGTCTCCTGGACAACCTTGGTTGTTTGATAGTGGTGCATCTCACCATGTTGCTTCTGATGCGTCTACACTGCCTTCTTATACGGACTATGGCGGTCCCGATGAGGTTCATCTTGGTAACGGTAAGACTCTTACCATTACTCACACTGGTTCCACTACACTTCCTACCCATACCCGCTCTCTGTCATTATCCAATATTTTATGTGTTCCAAGTCTTCACAAAAATCTTGTGTCAGTTGCCAAACTTTGCAAAACTAACCATGTTTCTGTGGAATTTTTTTCTTCATATTTCCTTGTCAAGGATCGAGTCACGGGGGCGCCACTAATGCGAGGGACGAACATTAATGACGTCTACTATGCACCATCTCATATCCAGTCATACTCTTACTCTCGGCCACAAATGAATGTCACACAGCATTCCGCATCTCCAGATTGGCATCACATTTTCGGCCACCCTTCACGTCGAATTTTTAATCTTTTAATTCATCAGAATAAACAGTTGTCCTCTTGTAATTTATCTCGAGAGCATCATTGTGAGTCGTGTTTTATTAATAAAAGCACCAAATTGCCTTTCTTTACCAATACTATGAATGCTTCTAGGCCTCTTGAACTATTATATTCTGATGTGTGGAGTACTACCAACAAATCACTTGATGGTCACCAATATTATGTCATTTTTGTTGACTACTTTACCCGATATATATGGTTATTTCCTCTAAAACAAAAATCAGACGTGTCCATTATATTCCCACAATTTCATCGTTTGGTTGAGAAGCGTTTTAATCTCACTATCACCGCCTTATTTTCGGATAACGGTGGTGAATATGTTAAACTCCGCTCATATCTCAATCAACATGGTATATCTCACTTTACCACTCCACCCCATACTCCCGAGCATAATGGTATTGCCGAACGCCGTCATCGTCATATTGTTGACACCGGCCTCGCTTTACTTCACTACTCTGGTCTGCCTCTACACCATTGGCCATATGCATTCCAATCTGCCGTATATCTCATCAATCGTCTACCTACCCCCACCCTCCAAAATGACTCCCCATACTACCGCCTTTTCCAGTCCCTCCCCAACTACACCAAACTACAACCTTTTGGATGTCTTTGTTACCCGTGGCTTCGTCCATATTCACCCACCAAGCTACATGCCCGTTCTGAGCCATGTGTATTTGTTGGGTACTCTATGTCTCAGTCGGCTTATCTTTGTTTATCTCTAGCACACAATCGTCTATTTGTGTCTCGGCATGTCAGATTTATCTCCCATATTTTTCCAATGCGTAACCCTGAGTACCCACAGCCATCCACACCTCTCCACACGTCCTGCATGCCTCGGTCATCTATGTCTCACTTCCAGCCCCTTCCTTTCTGTAGTCCACCTCATCAATCATCATCTCATACCACGTCCCAGTTCATCACACAACCCAACGCCCCTACCCCCCACTTATCTAATTCTACCCATACCTCTGTATCTAACAATCAAGTCTCTCCACAATTATCTACTGCCCATCCTTCCAGTCCTACGCCAGACAACAACCCACCTCCATTACTTACTCGGCCTTCTCGAACCAAAATACCTAATCCCAAATATATTGGTGGTCCGTTTATTAATCACACATCCCCTCACCCGCTTCCTAGTAGTCTGGAACCAACTAGTGTGACTCAAGCCTTGCATGACCCTCGTTGGAAAGCCGCTATGGATGCCGAATTTGATGCACTTCAACGCAACCGCACATGGGATCTTGTACCTCGCACTAGTGAGATTAAAACGCTTAGTTCAATATATCATTATGTATATAGTAAATACATAAATGTATTTACTATGTACTTTTTATTATTAATCACACATCCCCTCATCCCAAATGTATTCGGCATCCATGCCGAATGTATCAACTAGGGATCTTGTACCTCGCACATAGTAAATACATTTATGTTCCTAGTAGTCTGGAACAACCGCTATGGATGCCGAATTTGATGCACTTCAATATATCATCTCTTCACCTGGAACCCCACTTGGACACTTCTTAGTTCTTAGTTTCTTACACACACACACACATTATGACACTAATCAGTGGCGGGACCATTTTGTTCAAGGTTGTTCATGTGAACACCAAAAAAAATCAAAATGTGTAAAAGTACATCTACAGATTTGGCGGAATAATATAATGTACTTTATTTATGCAGTATTTCTTTGTTTTATTTTTTAAGTTTATTTACGAGAATTCTGTTGTTAGAAAAAAAGTTGGTGCTGAAATAATCTCGAACAGTTTGTGTGCTAGATCCGCCGCTCACACTAATAACTACCACCCGAACCTTGTACCGGTTTTCTCACACTACAGAATTTGCCCGTACGGATTACTACATAGTACATACCAGAATTGGATTAAAGGTTCGGGGCGGGTAATCCGAATAACCAGCCCACTGTCATCCCTTTCATTCTCCCAGCCTTGTAATCAGTCCTACTTTGGATGATAAGGAAGCCAGCCAGCCACTGAGCAACATAACTAATTAACTATTAAGTATGTCTATGAAGTTGAAATCTTGTTATGAACAATGCTAGTTTACTTGAGAAGTTAAAATCAAGATCTGATAACTACAAGAGAAACACAGAACAGAAAGAGAAAAGAAAAAAGGAAGAACCTTTTGCTTAACGCCGAGAGGAGAAGCCGCGACGTAGGAGACAGCCCAGTCGTAAAAGACATAAGGGTCTCCGGCTAAACCCAGAGGTGAGAAGCAGAGAACCAAGGCGAAATGAAGGAAGCAAGAAGTGGGTACTGAAAAGGCTAGCATCGGCCAAATGACAAACACCTAGCGTGCAGCGGTGCAGAATAAGCTGTTCTCAGGCTTTTCCTTCGAGAAAGAAGTTCGACATATAAGGAGGACCGAGAGTCTCCGCTAAGCTTTGCTTTTGTTGAATCTTGAAAGTGCGCTGTGGAAAAGCAGGTAGTGAGGTGGCCATCACAGGCGGCAGGACAGGCTGGGCGTCTTCTGGGTTTCCGTGTTACTGTTTTTAGGGCCCCAGTTTTCTTTGGGAGAATTAAGCCGTTTCCGATTTTCTAATTTCTCCTCACGTCTTTAGTTATTGCTAAAGAAAAATGTCATCAGTGCGACAAATTTGTAAAACACAATTATATAAACAATTTTTGATTATACACATAAAATTTTATTTTTGCGAGTGAGATTGCCTGAAACAAAAAACAATGACAATGTTAGACAAAAGTATTGCGACTCAAAACTGTAGCTCATACTTATTATTCAAGCATAGAGAAAAGTATTTGTGAGGGCTCTCAAAACACTCTTACGAACTCCATGCTCTTGGAAAAGAAGGGAGCAATGAATCCAAGGAAAAGTAACCCAAAGAAAAGGTGATTGATGGAGTATTAACCTTTAGAGAGAAGTGAGAGTTAGAGAATAGAGAGAGAATTGTAATGAATGTGCAATAAATGTATTTATCAACTCCTTACAACTACTCCCAGTAAGAGTAATTATAGTGAAAATATGGGCTGAGCTCCCAAGCCTTGGGCTTAGGAGACTCATTTACAATGAGACCACTATTGGATCGAGTACAGAATATGTAATTTGACTAAGTATGAAATCTGATTGCTCGAAGTCTCTGTGGCCGACGGAGGTCTGGCCGACGGACTCGACCGATGGAGGACCCCCGGTTCTCCTGGATTCTGGACCATATTCTGAGTTGATGTTTGTCCGGTTGATGGAGGCCATCTGACCGATAGAGGACCCACTTGATGGTAGCTGTGCTTCCTCTTATTCTTCTGAGTATGTGGGTCATGGGGTCTGGACCCATATACTCCATCAGGAGTCCCCCACTCTCTGAGCTGAGATGCAGACGAAGTGAAAGGGAGTAGACTCTTGTCTTGATGCCTTTTTGGCCGATGTGGAACCGTTGTGGCTATTCCTTGTGCTTGGTCGTCACGTCGTGTGGCCAAGTTGGTTATTCTTTGTTGAAGTTATAGACGTTTTCCTCACTCAGGCGTTGTGGATGATGGAGGTCCTTACTCTGAGGATGGTGCGTGTCCTCATGCTTGAGGACGATGGGTGTCTTGCTTGGGTAGACGACGAGTGTGGTCCATTTTGCGAACATCATGCGTGATTTTGCTCACTCAGCCGTTGTGGAGCTTCCGCTTTCATGTAGAGGATGATGGAGGTCATCACCCTGTGGACGTTGTGTGTCCTTGGTTTTGAGGACGATGAATGTCCTGCCTATGTGCCTTTGACTTTAGCTGAAGATGGATCATGTGCCTGTGGACGTTGAGATTTCGGTGCGATTTTGCATGGTATCCTTGTCATTTTGGCCGAAGGTGGATCACATGGTTGAGGACGTTGTGATACCACTATCTTTGGCTTGTGGTCCTTTGTATTTTTTAACTTTGCTTACTCTGGAATCTTTTGGAGCATGTAGGGGCCGATACAGTCCCTCAGTCCCCCACTCCTTAAGGTCGAAGAGTAAGTGAGGAGTGAAGGAGTAAGGCAAACCTCAGACCGAAGCGGACCTCCTGCATTCCCCATGAATCCAACCCCTTGGCGATTCCTGACCAAAGTAACCCTATGAGAGAACCCTTGTACGCAGGTCGCAGACCAGAGGTTATCATTAATGGTTTGTACAGTGGCCGATGGTTGTTAGGTGATACCTTACTTGGTTTTTGGTCATTGAAGGGGCATGCCCTTATTGCGTTTCCGCGGAGGTGGCGTCGTACTGTGTGGTGGCCGTTAGAGTGAAAACCTTGATCTGATGGGCCGTTGCATGTTCCTTCGACCTTAGCTAGGGAGGCTAGAGAAGATGGAGAAGCCTGGGCCTTTGAAGAAATCTGAAGGGTTGCACCTCTTGAGACCAATGGGGGCGAGCGTTGGTGTACCCACTGTATGTGTGCCACGTGTCGTGACCGTTGGTGTAGCCAATGGGAGGATGCCACGCGTAGTGACCATTGGGAGGGGTCTATAAATACCACTCCCATCTGAGGCGAGTTCCTCATTCGCATTCTTGTGACAACGAAGTGCTGCCGGATTTTCTAGAGAGAGAAATTGTTCCTTGGTGTTCTTCGCATCTTCATATCTTCAAAGGTCAGTTCATCACTTGTTCCTCCTTGTTTCTCTATACTTTGCTTCCTTGGGATTTGATCTAGTGTTAGTTAGGAAACTTCATTTAGATCCAAAGTAGCTCCCTTTAGGACTCGAATAGCTGTTATGGCGAAGTGTTTGGACAAAGAATACTACCCTTACGATGATGAAGGGGCCTCTACCAAATCTCTCGACCTTATGATTGTAGAGGAATGATGCGAGGAGATAGACGTCATGAGCTCCTTCCGGTCAGGGAATCAACCGGACGATGAGGAGAGTGCGGACGAGGATGTGGCCTCGTCATTGTCGGGTGAAGATATTGGAACTTCACGTGTAGGAGATGGGACTTCTACGTCGGCCACCATTCCGTGTCCTGATCCCCTCTCCACCGTCAAGGGGAAAGCTCCTGTAGTAGATGCTCCACCGAAGAGGAGGCAACGGCCGAAGAGGGGTCCGGACATTTCCTTCTTGGATCTCACTAATCTTTACATCATCAAGCCGCAAAGTTCCACCGCTGAATACTACGTCGCACATGTATGTGGGGCCGTATGGCAGGGTAAGGGCACCCAAGCCGGCGGATCATGTGCTCAATCCTCTGGCGGGGTACTTTGGAGTGTACCCTGTGAGTTTTGCCAAGGGGCTCAGATTTCCCCTTCATCCATTCATAACGGAGTACGTGGATATGGTGGTCTCCCTCCGGCTCTGCAGACCCCGAATAGCTACTCGTTAATCGTTGGGTTTCTGCTTCGATGCTCAGAGCTGAATATCGTGCCGACGACGACCCTGTTTATGAATCTGTATCAGATAGGCTGGGGTAACCACAAGAACTGTGCCGGTTATGCTAACCTTCGACAAATGAAAAATAGAAGGTCCTTCACCGAACTGTGCCGGTTATGCTAACCATGGTTGGAAATCCAAGTTTGTCTTTGTGACCTAGGGCGAAGGGGTTGATTTTCCTTCGGTATACCATTCTAGGGACTTCAACCTGCATGAGCCGCTGATAAGTCCATTTTTGTACTTATTTTTCTTATCAAATTTAAGCGATTTTGGATTGAAAAATAGAAAAACAAGGCATGTTTTATATATTTTGGTTTAAGTTTCGTGAAATCAGGTAAAAATCGCATTCATGATATGTTTGGCGAAATTTTGGGTCAATTAAGCAGACAAATAACCTCACGGGCGGCCAGATAGGCGGCCAAAATGAAGGCCTTCGCGGCCGCCTACGCTATTTTTGGAATGTCAAACTTTGCCTTTGACCGACTTCGGAAAAGACTGAAGTCTACCGACACCGGCCGGAAGGCGGTCCCGCCTTCGGTGACCGCCTACGGCACAGGACGACGAAGCCAACAACCGGTCGGTGTGACATGACGGAAGGCGGCCAGACAGAAACGGTAGGAGGCCGCCTGCCATGACCGCCTGCGGCGAAGTGACGTTGTCGCGTTTGTTTTTCCGGTGAAAAGACGGTAGGTGGCCGGCGTTGCACGAAGGGCGGCCGCCCTTCAGACCGCCTACGGGAAACTTCCCACTATAAATAGCTCGATTTTTGCTGAACTCAAACACACCATTACAAACCCTAAAGCAGTTCGAAAACCTCCAATTCTTCTTCTATTTCTGCAGCTTTAAATGAATTTGGGAGAGAGAAACTTCAATCTTCCACATCTTCTTCATTTTAGCTTCAAATTGTAAGTTCTATATATGCATTTTCATCCTCTCGATCTGTAGAATCTGAATATACAACTTGTTTGTTCGATCTGTTCTTCCAAAATTTCCAGAATATTTATCAAGTATTTCGCATTTTCTTCCAAAAACTAAATAAAATAGTTGCTGCTGTTGAATTCATTCCAATTAATTATATAGTTGTTTACTAGCCTCAAGGTTATTATTTATCTAAAGAAAGTTATTTTTCACGAGGCACAAGTAATTTTTAATTAATTTTGGTTACTAGTTGATATTATTGCATAAATTAAATTAACTACTTCAGATTAGCAAAAAAATTAGTTTCGATCCTAATTCCAGTTTATTCCGCTGCAATATCACCCCAGTAGTCAATATAAAATTTAAAACGAATTTAGAATATTTCTAGTTGCTTTTGTATTGTCTAGTTAATATTGAGAAAATTATCAATTAGTTGTTAAAGTTGAATTTTAGGTTAGAAACTTCGGGAAAAAATACAGAAGATCATATTTTAGTTTCAGAAAGTTTATTTTTACATAATCTTATTTTTTTAAAAAAAATTTCTATTATAAATGTTTAGTTCCTTGTTAATGTTTAATTTATTTACTTTATTGTTGAATTACTTGAATGCAAAAATAATGTTTAGTAGCTAAATTTGTTTTGGGCATGAATTGGCTAAAGGAATATGGATTGACTTGTTAACCGAAAATTAGGGGTTAAAATTAATGAATTGGACTAGTTATTTAATTTGATGAAATAGTAATTAATAATTGTTAGCCATTTTCATTAATTAAATTTTGGAAAATTATTTCTAACTTGTCTATGAGATTAGAAAATAATTTGAGCCAACCATATTGGAGCACATTAATAAGGCCTATAAATAGGAAATTTTAATGAAAGGGGTTTACATTTTGTCTATGAGAAATAAATTCAAATTGCTTAAATAATGAGTTTAATTAGTTAATGAATTTGGCTATGTTTATTAATTAAAATATTGGAGAATTATTTCTATCTTGTCTATGAGATTAGAATTTAATTCAAGCCAAACATTTTTGAATACATTAATGAAACCTAGAATTAGGATAAATTAATGAAAGCAATTTCTATTCTTGCTATGAAAAAAGAAATTATAAGTCAAATCTTGGTTTAATTCCCCTAATCACTAGGTCGAAGAATATATCCATTTCTAATTACTCAATTCATTGCCTTATTTGCCTAAATCTTTTCATTAATCTTTAGAATATTTGATCTTTAAACATTCATCTTTAGTTAAAATTTGCTCCTA